TTACTGAACAATCAACAGCCTTCCTTAGCAAGGGTTTATTGACCATAGGGAGCAATCGTTTTTAGAATAGCAAACATTTTGACTGCTAATAAGCTCTCATTCTTTTTAGGTATGCTATCAAAGCAAAGTCCTAAACTTCCATTCTCTCTTAGTCCTTCTAGGCACTAATGAATCAAGCATTTATAAAATAATTATTATATGCACATATAACTGGAATATCAAATATTCTTCTCTTTTAGACTAGGATAATGAGCAGTGACTCCAATGTGTTTTCAATTAGAATATAAATAACTCAAGATCAGGAACTAAAAACATTTAAAGATGAATCGATAACACCACTTTCCTATCAGCCAAAAATAGTGCTATTAGAGTTCTGAAAAATTAAAGACAAGGCCATTCTTGCTTGATTATTGTTTTTAAAAGTCTACATTTTTAATGCAGATGAGTGCTAAACACTTAGGTCTGTGGAACAATGAAGGACAAACAGCTGAGATATTTACATTGTGGTTGTATACCTCTCTAGGTTAGAAAGCCCTTTCCAGACAAGGATGTTCAGCGTGGAACTTGTTGAGCCTAAGCATGTTGATAAGATAAATTTCCAAATGTCTTTGTTTTTTCATAGAATATATGTTCCATGCTGTTCCTCTGGCTTGTATCTTGTTCTTAGGAGTTCTATCCTTTCTTGACTTTTATTAAAAAGTCTGATGTCTAGTGTTATTTCAGAAAGATGCACATCTATGTAAGCATCAGGATAAATTTAAACATGTGGTTAAACTTGTATTTAAACACATTTTTCTAGGGCTTGAATATTTTTTAATGCTTAAACGGGGGGAAGATTTTTAGAATGGTCTTACAATAGCCCAGTTAAGTATTTAGTTTTGTTTTTTAATGACTTAAAACTCTCAAATTAACAGTTTCTTAGAACTAGAATGAAGATATATACTCATAACAAATTAGTGTTAGTTGCACTTATAAAATACAGCATTTAAGTCTTCTGATAAACCTTTTCTTTGACCAAAATCTAACATTTTACATGCTAACAAATTTACAGAGTAAACTATTCTGTTTGACTCATTGTTTTCTGCCTCCATGCCTATTTTGCTATGCAAAAGCTTTATGTCAATTTACTTTTTGAGCCTTTAAGACCAAACCAAATTATTCCTTCAGCACATTTTAAACAATCCCTTAAAGACCTCTTTTTCTTGGCTATGTTTCCAATCTTGGCTTATCACTATAATATTTCATGCTCCATGCTTCTGAAAAAATTCAATATTCAAGAACAAAGTAATACAGAGCTTTACTTCATTTCAGTCTTTTTATGTCCTAGGGCTGTCCCAACTCAATGACCCAGTTTTTATTGTGTCACATCTCACTGTCTGTTGCTGACTGTGACCAGCTTGCCTAATCCTTTTCCTGTCCCTTATCAGTTTTCCCTTAATTCAAAAATCTTTTTTTTTTTTATTCTTTGCACTTCTCCTTTCACAGCTTTTAGACTTTTTCCTCCTCAGAAGACTCAGTGTTCCTGTGGTAGCTACTCAGAAACACAGAGACAAATGGGTAACTAAAGTCCATAGGTCTGTCCTTGTCAAAATTTCTTTGTACTATTTTTAGAATTGTGGGTGGTGAATAGCAGAAAGTGGATAAAATAATTTGCTAATATGCATCAAGAACCCTTAAAAATGTTCATACCGTATGACCCAACAATTCCACTTCTGAGAATCTGGCTTATTAATTAAAAAGAATCATCTAAGATATAGAAAAAGTATATGTATGCGATGTTCATTACAATGTTATATATAAAAGCAAAAGAAGAAAACAACACAAATAACCCAAAACTAGGAGAGATGTTAAATAGATTACGGTCCATCTACTTGATGGAATAATGTGCAGTCATTTAAGGTGATGGTTATGTGACTATGTAGAAACATCGGTAAATACTTGTAATGTTTTCAGAAAAGCAGGGTGCAAAACTTTAAGTGCCTAAGGTCACAACTATGTTTTTAAAAAAGCATTTACAAAGGAATAACTTCAAGGAAACACGTTTGCTAATACTTGTTATTTTAGGGTGGCAGAATTAAAGATAATTTTTCGTTACTGTCAAAAATCTTGTGATTCTATTTAAATTCTTAAAAACTATAATCTTAAGTGATTCAAATAACCATTTAAGTAGGATATGTCAAATAAAACTTATAAAAGACTATTTCAGATAGAGCTCTACTTTAGTCTAATAACAATCTAATAACTGGAGGTGGGGGAGACAACAAGACAGTATGTTGTTTTGTTTACCATTATGGGTCATCCCTAAAGGGATGAATTAGGAAAAAAACTCTGGATGCCCATTTTAAAATATAAGATTATTTTTTAAAACTTTAATAGGTTCTATTCAAGTTTATTTTACTGCCACTGACTTTATCCAGGCCTGCTTGTTCTCTCCTGTTACTTCATCAAGTTTCTATTGGTTTCTCTATCTCTAGTCCAGCCCTTTCGATCCATTTTCCACACTGTCTTCAGAGAAATCTCCCTGAAACCTAAATCTGTTTGCGATACTCCACTGTTTAAACTATTCAGAATACCTAAATCTTTAGTTTAGTTTACTAGCACATTCCAAGCTTCCCTACCTTATTCTGTGCCATTTCTTCTCACACACCCTTTCTACCAGTGTCACCAAACTACTTATATACCTGAAGCAGTACTCATAGTCACTGTTATTTCTGTCTATTAATACTGAACTTAGTACTTAATAACCATTCATTCTTCCAGTCTCGAGTGTCACTTTCCAAGGAAGGCTTTCCAGATTCCTCATCTCTTTTAGATGTCCCTTCTCTCTAACCCCACAGTGATCCACCACGGTGCTATCACTGATTTACTTATCTGATTTTCCCACCAGACAGTAAACTTCTTGTTTGTACAGGCGAGTGAGAGTTAGTGTGTTTGCATTTAACCTGAATACCAATCACCCCACCCCTCCTCAGACAATGTGGAGCTTGGCGAATGTTAAATGTTCATCAAGGGTTAATGTGCAAATCCCGGACATTTAAGTGCTAGGAATGCAGAGGGGAGGTACACTGGAAGCCAGGGGTCTGCTATCTGTCAGGCACCTGTCAGGTAGAAAGTCATTCAATGCACCTCCCTGATGAAGTTACACTTTCCTACTTGTCTTAAGGTTGTTGTGCAAATGTTTTTCTTCCCACATCACACTCCTGAGAATTGGAAGCACATCTTGCTTATGAACTCTATTGCTTGCATACACTAGGCATTCAAACATATGTTGAATTAATAAATTTTAATATTTTAAAATCATTTTGACTTACAGTAATTCAAATCTACTTTGTCTCTGATGAGCAAAAGCCTCTAGAAAAAAAAATGTGTGAATGACAAAATCTTAACTAGAAATCTCAACATCTTAACTAGAAATTTTCAGAACAGTGTTGTGAACCCCTGGAGAGAAGATATAACAGAAATCAGGATGGAGAAACATAGATATATATATTTTTTGTCCTTTTCGAGAGCGGCCACACCGTGCTCAGCCAGTGAGTGCCGTGAGCACACCGGTCATCCCTATATAGGATCCGAATGCGCGGCAGGAGTGCCGCTGCGCTCCCAGCGCCGCACTTTCCTGAGTGCGCCACGGGCTCGGCCCAAGAGAAACATATTCAAATAGAATTAAAGACTGCCTAAACCACAAATGTGCTGACATGTAAATATCTTCTCTACCTCAATTTTCATATACTTGTACTTACACAGGGAACCAGGTATATTCCAATTGAAAATATTGGTTCAAACTAATGCAAAAATCATAGTTTTATTGTTTAGATGAAAACAAACAAATGATTTGATCATGGTATTGATTTACTTTCTTAGTTTCTTTTTTCCCACCCTTACTATATCTGCATTTTAAACAATATGCTTATTACAGAAAAATTACTTGAAAATTTTAAATCAATTTTCTCAAAATTTTCAATCTTAAAAAAAATTTTTATTATTATGACTAACATTTTAGTTATTAATCTTTTAATCCTAAATTAAAATTTAAATGTACCAGCAGATCTGCTACTTAAAATAAAACTCTGGAAACAATCTTGTAATAGAAAAGTTTTTTTCAGTCATCCTGTTAATTTATCTGCTTTGTAGATTTAATTTTCTTATATTTTCTTACAGAATCAGCTACCTATTCTTATCTGGGAAACAAATGCAAACAAATTTAAGTTTTAGGAAACTATTCAAACAGAGTTCTATTTTGAATTTCAAATTCAAAATACAGTCCCTTTGGCCATCTTAGCTCTCACTGTATTAGTAGGCACCCTGGTTTTCAAATTCAGCCTCGTGAATTTAATGGGTATGCAGCAGTTCTTCAGTGAACAATGATCTAGAAGATGAGATCACAAGGGTTAATTTAATGTGTCTTCTACAATGCATGCTGCATAGAAGACTCTTTAATATTTCTTTTTTTCTCCTTCCTTGTGAGAAATGCCCTCACCTGTCCAATGCCAAAGGATGGGTACGGAGACCCAAGGTACAGCGATGCAAAACTTTAATAACAGCCTTGCAAGGTCCAGGTGTCTGTGAACGGGACAGGCATGCCTGCAATTACATTACATCCTGCAATTTATTCTCTAGTGCGCAACTTCCTCCCCTTCTTTCTCATTGGCTGAGTACTATGGAGTGCACAATCTTCTCAAATGTCGTCTAAGTTTTATTACTTCCTTGTAAGGCATTTGTTGTCCCCTTCCCTCTGGTGTAAAGGGGTGGGCTCAGTACAAGCCTGCAAAAAAGGCCCACCAGAAGTCCTGAGGAGGAAGAAGAACCAGGAAGTAAAAAGAACAAGGTGACCAGCCACCACCTTGAGAAGTCACCTTTGGGAAAGTGCACTTTCAGGCACTATCACACCATAAGTTAGTCAAGCAACCGTTGTTAAGCTATTCTTGAAAATGAATCATTTAGGCTATTTTCCCACATTCCTTCCCTTGCAACTTTGTAATAAAAATACTTATAGCCCAAAAAACTGCACAAGACAGGAATGATTTATTGCTGACACTTCAACATTAATATTTTATAATTTATTGTAAAAACATTTGCACCCCACCACCAACACAAATACTGAAAATGGCCTTATGAAAGTTACAATTTTATAACAAAAATATTCCTAAATATCATGATAATCCACCTGTTTTCTTCTTAACCTCAGTATAATAAAGACTGAGGTTAGAATTTGACCCTAGCAGGCATGAAAATTTGGTCTCTTGGTTTATAAATATAGTCTAATACACAAGAATATTGTTAGGCATTTCCATGTGCTTCAAGAAACACAGTTAGATATTGATCAGCCAAGATACGGATAACCAGTGAGTTTATGGAAAATGTACACATTTCTAGTTACAGACCATAACTAGAAATATTACAGTAAAGCTGGTAAACTACAACCAGTAATAGATTTCTATACACCTCAAAAAGTCAACAACATCAAAAAAATTAAGAAATTTGGCATCAAGTAGACAATATCTAGGTTCTAGGGTTCACATGTAGTGCTTTTACGTACTATACAAAGTCTTATCATTGCCCCCAACTTCGGAATTTCAGAGCTAGATAGTACAAAATTCAAAATACTTGCTTTGTCCCTTTTCACATGCTGGATCTATGATGTGTTCCTAACTCTTGCTGTCTTCTAGAATGATCTTTCAGATTTTCACTAAACAGCACTGGGTCAAATCTCTTCTATACATGACCTCACCCTTCTCGCATCTTCTCTATTTGCAGAAAGCCGGTCAAAGTCTTGGAGGTGGAAACGAGTTGCCAACTGATTGACCATTCTCCTCAAAGTAAGAAATGCTGCAACAACTTGGAAAGTAAGGAAGAGAGTGAAGATGATATGTACCGCCTTTTCCAAGGGCAGATTCGTTAGCCCTTCATTAAAGAGCAAGAAAAGAATTAAAGGTAACTGCAATAGAAGGCTCAAAAGCCAAAAGCCAGCCAACTCAGGAACCTGCAATGACACACATCAAGAGTAATAAGATCAGTAAAATACAGTATCTTGTTTAAGATAAGTACTTAGAACTACTAAGAACCTACATTATGGGCTCTGTGAGTAATTCAAAAGGAATATGACATGGTCCTTGTCCTCTGAGAATTTATAGTGTTGATGAGAATACTAACTTATGTGAAATAATCCTAGAATACAACACTTTAGTGAATAATTAAAAGCAAAATTTAGAGGTATAGACTAAATGCCACAAGAAATAAGAGAGTGAAACAGATGTCAAGGACACAGGCTTTTACAGTTGTGTAGAAAGAGGAAGAGGCAAGAAGGTAAGCAAGCAAACACATGAAACAAGCAAGACTGGGAATCAACACCTCAGCCTGGAACGGATGGTTGGGTTAGGCAACAGCAAGAAATACAGTAAGATAGGCTGGTTGGGGCCTCATTGTGAAGGGCCTAGAAAACCACATAAATCTTTAAGCATTAACCCTACACTCTGGTAACTATAAATGCTTACGCAGTGTAGTGGATTGAATTATGTCCCCCTCAAAACTCACTGAGGCTTGAGTTGTGTCTCCCAAGTTTTATGTATTAGAAACTTAGCCTCCACTGTGACTGTTAAGAGGGTGGGAAATCCTATTATGGTAATTGAAAGGTGGAGACTTGAGGAGATGATTGGATTGTAGGCCTGTGCTGTAGTGAGTAGATTAAAAATGGTGGTCGGAGGGGTGGTTCTGGGGGCTTTAAAAGAAGAGGAGAGTCTGTTTTTCTCTCTCTCTGCTTCCACAGTCTTGCAATGTGAGACCCCTGGGTCACTGTCACCACCACCAGATGGACTTTGGACTTCCCAGCCTCAGAAACTGTAAGCAAAAATTTCATTTTCTTATAAATCACCCAGTTACGTGTACTGTGTATTAAGCAACACAAACGGGACTAATACAGGCAGCATGATGATTCAGAAAACATGGTCCTGGTATAGGAAATGAGCTTATAATTTCCCCTCATTTTCTTATTCAGGATTTAACTGATCAAGTATTTTCAAGACCGACGAGAAGAGGGAAAGCTACCAATTCTTAAATGCCTACTATGTTCAAGTACTTCATATATATCATTTCATTTAATCCCAACAAACCTGTGAAGTAAATATTATTTTCCCCATCTCATATATAAGGCAACCAGGACTCAAGAGGTTAAGCAAATGGACCTCAGTGGCAGAAGTGGTAAAGTTGGATCCAGGCGTAAACTCTTTCTACCATACGTCACTGCCTTTCACTTGCTATGAAAACCTTACTGTGCTTATGTGTCGCACTAAGAGAAAGACAGAAAGAGCCTACCTTCTCCTGTAGGTTACCCATGTAGCCCAGATATAACCGGATGGCTTCAATTAAGGTTATTAGGATGATAACAGTGATCACGATGAATTTGTAGTAATCAGGCAAGATTGAATACTAAAAAAAAAAGTTTGTAAAATCTCACGTATAGTAATACTGACCTGGGATAGAAAAAAAATATTAGGAACTTTAATTTTATTGATAATGTAACAATGTCATGGATGGGCACAAGGGGGCTCAGCAGAAATATTAAAGCATAATCTTACCTTTATCTGAAGCATCATAATGCAGCTCACCCACCAAAGTGGAAAAAAGTAAGTGTTAAAATAAAGTGACATCTGCAATGCCAAACTGGAGACCATTTCATTATCTACAGAAATAGAAAGAAAAGAAACAAACTCTTAATTCTGGTCTATGCCCTATAAATCCTTTTGTTCCTTAGAATAACTATAGTATTGGCACAATAAAACTCCAAACTTTAAGTCTATTCATAATCATTGACAGTAAAAGGAATATTCTCCTCTTACCATTTAGTTCAAATATTGGCTACTTGGGAGTACATTTCATATTTTTCAATTACTTTATCATTTTGTCATTACAATTTGCTGACTTTTTTGCACAATACTGGTAAAGATTAAATGTGGAATATTAATATAAGTCCTATTGAACAGATAATAATGATCACTGCCTCCTTTGTAGAGTTCTATGTAAAGTCTTTAAAATGAACACATAAAATACATAAAGACGAATCTTTCACATATAAACTAAGCTCATACAAAAACTAATCTCCCCAAATTATAATCAGACATAATTAAATATATGCTTCCTTCAGCATACCAAAATCCCACCCATTCTTTAATGCTCAGTTCAATGCCACCTTTTCCATAAATCCTTCCTTCATCACATTCCCTAACCTCAGCAGAAATCTCTTTCTCCTCTTGGTACTTATCACTTTAGACTTTGTATAAGAAGTGTTAACAAAGAACCACACTCCTCTCACCTGAGACACACTTTGGTATACTGAAGAGATCACAGGCGTTAGAGTCCAAGTAAACTCAGAACTCCCAAACTCCCACCACCCTGGATGCCAGACTTCGGATAAATTATTTAACCTCTTTGTGCCTCAATTTCTTCATCTGTAAAATGGTAACATTAAAACTACCTCCGAGGCTACTTGTGAGGATTAGAGATAATATAATTATGTCACTCTAGAACCATGCTTGGCATGCTTAGTAGGCACTCAACAAATATTACTTCTACTTATATCAAGTCTCATGGTAAGCACAGACCATGTCCTACCCAAATTTGAGACCATCATATAACCTACATCTTGCTTTACATGACAGTGAATACCAAATACACATAAACAGAAAGAATGAATTAATGAAACATACTGTCATAAGGACATTACCAGTGTAACCATTTGTGATACATGAGTTCCATTATTCTAAGGTTGACTACATAATACCTTTTGCTTTTATGTGAGGGAGAAGAGTCCTAAATTAAAAATTTGATTTTTAAAATCAAATTTTTACCAAAAACATCTTAAATTTGACTAAAACCTTAAGAGCAGATACATACAGTTATGCATCACTTAATGACAGGTATATGTACTGAGAAATGTGTCATTAGGCGATCTCGTCATTGTGTGAGCATCATAGGGTGTACTTACACAGACCTAGATGGTATAGCCTACTACACACCTAGGCTATAGGGTATAGTCTATTGCTCCTAGGCTACAAACTTGTACAGCATGTTACTGTACTGAGTAGCACAGGCAACTATAACACAATGGTGTTTGTGTATCTAAACATAGAGAAGGCACAATAAAAATACAGCATAAAAGATAAAAAACGATATGCTAGTGAGTATAGGGTACTTACTATAAATGGAACTTGCAGGACCTGAAGTTGCTCCGGGTAAGTCAGTGAATGAGTGGTGAGTTAATGTGAAAGCTAGGACACTACTGCACACTACTGTAGACTTTATAAACACTGTACACTTAGGCTACATTAAATTTATTAAAAAATATTTTTTCTTCAATAATAAAGTAAGCTTACCTTACTATAACTTAACTTTACAAACTCTTTAATTTTTTAACTTTTTGACTTCTGTAATAACACTTAGCTTAAAACACAAACACACTGTACAGCCATACAAAAATATTTTTATCTTTGTATCTTTATTCAATAAGCATCTTCCTATTTTTAAAATTTCTTTTTTTTTTTATTTCTAAAATTTTTTTGTTAAAAACTAAGACACAAACACACAATAGCCTAGGTCTACACAAGGTCAGGATCATTAATATCATTGTCTTCTACCTATATATCTCGTCCCACTGGAAGGTCTTCAGGGGCAATAACACGAATGGAGGTGACATTTCCTATGATAACAATGCCTTCTTCTAGAACACCTCTTGAAGCACCTGCCTGAGGCTGTTTTACAGTTTCTTTTTTTTTTTTATAAGTAGAAGGAGTATACTCTAAAATAACAATAAAAACTATAGTACAGTAAATACATAAATCAGCAACATAGTCGTTTATTATCTTTATCAGGTATTATGTACTGTACATAACTGTATGTGCTAGACTTTTATATGACTGGCAGTAAGTTTGTTTTTACCAGCATTACCACAGACATGTGAGTAATGCACTGTTCTATGATACCCTATAACATTATATCACTGCTTGGTAAGGATTTTTCAGCTCCATTATAATCTTATGGGACCATCATTGTATACGCAGTGACCAAAAAGTTGTTATGCAGCACATAACTGTATTTTGAAAACAATTGTAAATGTAAGATTTTACAAAGGCTCTAAAATAAATTTCTTATAATGGGATCAGCACAGTGCAAGTTAAAATAAACAAATTTCTTAAAAAGATCATTTTTTATTTTTCTCCACTTTTTTTTATCTATCATTTAGTAAATTTTTAATGTAAGAAATAATCACGGTCTCTAACAGCGAGTGGTTTCCTTTAGCTACAAGAATATGCCTATTTATTATGATCTACTTTTACTTGCACCTATTTATTAAATTACCACTGATAAAGGAATAAATTCTTAAAATCTGTTAAATCTGAAGACAATTCACCAGCCTAGGGTTTTTTCCATAACAACAGTACAATTCTTGGTCAGCTGTGGACATGGTATAAACTTGTAATTACAGTACAAATAATCAAACCTATTTCAGATCCACAAAGAAGAAAAGGTGGGAAAACAATGATAAATTGGTTAAGCTGAAAATTTTAGTGCCTTTGGAGCGGAAACTGTAAATTTTGAAAATTTTGCAAAAAAGCTTTTACGTTAGAAATTTTGCACATGAACATTTTAAAAGTTATGCTATGTCCATATTTCAACAGCTCAAACTTATAATCATGCAATTGAGAATCAAGTTAATATGTAAATTGAGCTGAAAGCACAAGACATGAGTTTACTAAATTCTGCAAAAGTTCAAGCTGAATTCTATAAATGGAATTCAAATTAAAACATTATATAACATAAATCAGGGGTAGACAAACTACTGGCCAGCTGCCTGTTTCTGTACAGTGAGTTAAAAATGTTTTTTCACATCTTAAATGGTTGGGGGGAAGAAGTCAAAGATTAATGTTTTGTGACAAGTGAAAACCATATGAAATTCAAATTTCGGTGTCCATAGATAAAGTTTTAATGGAACACAGCCATACCTATCCAATTACTATTCTCTATGGCTGCTGCAGAGACCATGTGGCCTGCAAAGTTTAAAATATTTACTATATGGCATTTTTCAGAGAAAGTCTGCTGATCCCCTATACCTTGAATCATCAAATTTTATTTTATTTATTTCACAGAAGGACAACGAGCAATTATCAGATTTTACTGCCTGTTAAGCCTCAGTCTTAGAATCAGAAATATGGACACCTAATTCTTCACGTTTTTTTCTGCACATCCTAAATCATAAAGAGATCTCTATTTCTTTTTTTTTTTTTTTTTTTTTTTTTTTTGTCTTTTTCCATGTCCGGCAACGGATCGCAACCCTCAGTGTTGCCCCCGTACTGGACCGGGGACCGGCAACGGGATTGCAACCCTCGGTGTTGCTCCCGCGCCTCGCTCACCCAGTGAGCGGGAACCGGTCTGTATGTGGGATCCGAACCCTCGGCGGGAGCGCCGCCGCGCTTCCCAAGCGACACACTGTAGCAGTGCGCCACCGGGCCGGCCAGTACATCCTAAATCATAAAGAGATCTATATTTCGGGGACAGGAAAGTGATCAAGATGACAACTACAGAAACTGACTTTGCTTTTCCCTGCCCCCTTTTAAAAATCCCTAAAACCAAGCAGAGGAAAAGATATGTACTTTCCAGCAGACTTCAATGATGAAAACCACATGGTCTTGGTTGACAGTACGCTATCATCATGATTTAGAAGGAGGAAACTGCGTTATCACTTGTCATCATGTTCAAAGTGGTGTTTTGTTACCAGATTTAAAGGAAGAGTTATATATACGGGAGGAGAAGGTATAGGCAGGGAAAGGGGCAAATTCTGTTAAAGGCCCTGCTTAGAATGGCAGCTGCCACTCTGGAGTGGATAGCAGTTTAAAATGACTCATTAAAAAAGATTTTTTTTTCATTCTGCGGGAAAACGGCCTTGTGGAGAACGTACCTGTTCTGCTAGGCAAAGAGAAAAGGCAAAGCTATTTCACTGGTGTGGGAGTTGGGGGAGTGGGAAGGGGAGCTGATTGTTTAGACAGTTTGCCCCATCCTGGCCAGAAAAGCCAGGGCGGGCACCGCAGAGGAAAGGCAACGTCGGCCTTCGCGGAGGGAGCAGGCCCTGCTGGTGCTGCCGGGGCCGCTTTTATGTTGTTATATTGAGCCTCTGCCCAGGCAGCGCGGAGCCTCACGCAGCGCAAAGACTGGACCCCTGCTGCCTCGCTTGCAATGACCCGGCCAGGCGGCCGCAGCACGATCAGACCAGGCCCGGGGTCTGAGCCCGGGGGCGCCCCAGCCTCAGTCCCCGGCCTGGCCCCTCCTCCAAGGAACTCTCCGCACCGCGGAGAACCAGCAGAAGGTGAAACCGCCATCTTAGGTCCGGGCAAAACCTGGCCGCTCCGAAGCCCGCGCCAGGCCCGCAGCGGGCCACGCCCCCGGCGCCGGGCCTCGGCCACTCACCCGGACCCTCGTTGTACTCCGGCCCGGTTCGGCTGGAGTCGCTGAACACTGTCCGGCTGAAGTTCCCCAGCCGCTGGCGAACCGGATCCGGCAGCTCCATGCCCGGGCCTCGGCATCCCTCTCCGCCTCAGAGGCAGGCTGGTCTGTGGGCGCAGCCGCGCTCTGCGGTTGCCACGGCGACCGGGCGCGCGCGGGGCCGCACTGCGGGCCGAGTCTGGTCTGCAGCCCGCGCGCCCGGGCAGAGAGCCGCTGCGGTGCTCGGAGGCAGATCTCTTAGTCCTGTTTTAAGGAACACCATCTTAAAAACAAATAGAAATAATAATTAATGACATGGGGCTGGATTAGGATACAAGGAGCCCTCCCACCTTGCCGGTGGGACTGTAAATAGGTGCCACCTTTCTGGAGGGAAATATAGAACGAATGGAGGGCTTAGAGAATGTTTGTGACCCAGTAGCTCCTCTTCTAGGAGTGAGAGTGTGATATCGTGCACAGATTGTTTTTGAATAATAAATAATAATAAAAAATACAAGAATGGGCAATTGATTAAATGTATTAGAGCACATATGTTCAAAGGAATACATTGCAGTAGTTTATAAAATGAATATTTGATGATGCGGATTAACTTTAAGTAAAGATAAAAAAGCAGAACTAAAACTAAAGGTGAATAAACCTAATTTAGCAAAATATGTTTGTGTGAATATGTGGAGGGCGGGAGGGAAAGGGAAGAGGGAGCGTGTGCACACTGGCTTCAAAAAAGACTGTAAGGAAATAATCCAAAAATTTAACAGTAGTTATCTGTAGATAGTCGGACTGTGGGTGATTTAAAAATTTTAAAAACATATCTGTATTTTCCTGTTTTCTCTCAAATAAGATGTGTTACTTAAAAAAACTTAAGTGTAATATACATACAGAAAAAGGCACAAATTGAATATACATTGGTAACCAGCACCCGGATCAAGAAACAGAACCTTTCCAGCATCGCCAGAAGCTTCCCTCTCCTGGTCTCTTTCAGTCACTAACCCTGGTTACTAACTGACCTTTCCTGACTTCTAATAGGATAGGATAGTTTTGCCTATTTTTTTTTTTACTTCATATAAAAGTAATCACACAGTAGTTACTTAAAAAAAAATCTGGCTCTTTGCCCTTAACGTTATTTTTATTAAATTCCTTCATATTGTTGAATGTTGGTTCTTTTTCCTTGCTGTGTGTGATCATACCACAATAGGTTTTATGTATTCTGTTGGTGAACGTCTGTGTGTTTTCAAGTTTGGAGATGTTATGAGTAATGCCGCTTTTGCGAAAAGATGCCTCTTGGTGAACATATGCCTGCATTTGTGTTGAGTGTACATCTAGCCGCGGAATTGCTGGGTCAGGGGGTGCATAAGACTCAGCTTTAGTAGATACTGCCAATGGTTTTCCAAAGTGATTGTACCGATTCCCAGTACCTCCAGCAATATATGAACATTCCTGTTACTCCATACATTTCACTAGCACTTGCTATTTTCCGTCCTTTCCTTTTAGCCTTTCTGATGGGCAAGTAGTGAGCAGTATTATTTTTACAATCAAAAGGAAAATCACACGTATTTGCATAAATGTCAGAAAGAAGGTACGGGATGAAATAGCTTCATGGCTGGAATTTCAAAATAATTCAACAAATGTTTATTGCCTTCCTACTACTTTTTTGGGAATCGTACTAGGCTAAATAAGGATATTGTCACTCCCCGTCAAGAAGTTCAGCCCAGTGAGAGAATGAGAGACATGGGAACAAATAAGTACTATACACTATTATAAGTTCTGTAATAAAGGAACATTGAATGAAGGAGCAATTAATTACGGTTGGGGATTTCAGGGAAAAGCTGGCTAACTTCTGTTTCCTTTCAATGAAGCTCAAGCCTCAGCATCTCCAAAAAAGTCTTCCAAGACCTTCACGAAGCTGGCTTAGGTGCCCTCCTCTGTCCCAGAGCATCTTCCTCTTGTTACTTTGGTCACAGTGCTGGTCACTCTGTACTATAATTGTCTATTTAAGTGTCTGTCTCTCTTGCTAGTCCACAAGTTCTTTGAGGTCAGTGATAGACTTTCATCTTTATGTCCCCAACACTAGCTTGGTGCCTGGCCTGGAATGAGAGCCGGATGACTACGGAGTGAATAAAGACAGAAAAGGTCATATGACCACACCCACATCTTCCCATTTCTAGTTCAAGCACTAGCCAGCCCTTGTATAAAGTTCATTCTTCAGAATGGAGAATTGTTGTATTAAAACACACTGAATTATAGCAATAAAATTTTTAAAAGAACTTAGTAACAAAGAATCATTTTACTTCTATTAAATTAACTAAGATTTTTATAAAGGATGCAGTGAGACAGGAGGCCTCATGCTCTGCTGATTGAATTAATAATTTGGACAACCTCACTGAGACAAGCAATTCACAATATGTATAAATAGCCTGAAAAATGTTTCTGCCTTTAACATAATAATCTAAATTGGAAGGCTCTGTTTGGGGGAAATAATCATAGAAACAAAGTTTTATACACCAAGATGTTACTTGCAACATTATTGACATTAGTTTAAAAGGCAGGGAGGGGAAGTCAGCATTTGAAGTGCTCAACCACAGGGCCTAGTTAAGCAGATTATGATATTCATGGTGAGGCTGTAGTGGAAAAAACACTCTTGGAAGCAGGGAGGCCAGGGTTCAAATCCCCTAAAATTTTCAATTTACAACCTATGAGCTGCATGATTGATTTCAGACCCTTGTTTTGTGAGAATAATGATATCTTACTCTTGTGGTTGATGTGAAGGTTATATCACTAAATAAGCTCTTTATATATGATAGCTATCATTTACACATCTATTAAAATGATGTTGTGAAGAAGAAACACCTACAGTGGACTTAAATAATGCTAGCATTTAATTTTCTGAATTCAACTGTACCTGCTAGGTAATACCTCTATTGCTTTTCTACTAAAGACAGTGGATTCAATTAACCATTGAAGCAGTCCATGAATGGTAGCCAGATTTATCAAAACCCTGAGTGAATTTTTAAAAATATTTTTTACCTAGCATTGAAAAAAATCTGAAACATCTTGTTCAGATTGTAATGTTTTATCAAAATCCCAGAGGAAGAAATTGGTAGAAATGTGGGTATTTTTCCTTCTAATTTTATTTATTATTCAGATTTCCTATAATGAGCATGCATTTCATAGTTAGAAAAAAATCTTGTTAAAAATGCATTGAGAGGACGAGGCAATGATGGTGCAAAAATGTATTAGAGAATTTGAGAGGAAGGAAATGTGGTTTGGAAAGAGTAATAATATCATTATTGATGTCACAAATGGCCCAAAGGGCTCAAAAAACTTTCCAAATAATATTTTGTTAGTCGATGCTCACAATATTTATAAGCAATCACATTAGGGAAATACCGAAGTATGCAGGAGGGGATCCACTTTCATGGAATCAAGAGACTAGTATAATTTGGGTTTCCCATATTCTAGACCTACTATTCACTTAGGATCTAAACAGAGAATCTGAGGTCTCTGTTATTAAAATCATGAAAATCATTCCCAGCAAGGTTAATAAACAGCCCTTTTAAGTTAAACTGTTCATATTCCAATATCGATGTTCAGAGTAATAATAATTGCTTCTCCAATAATTGCTTAATATATTCCACTGAGGTGTAATTACATTTACAGTTTATTTTTGTCAAAATTTAGAGGCTAGAGCAATGGTTTTTTTCTCTTTGACAAGAGTCAAAGTAGTCTGGTGATAATTTATTATCTTCTGTGACAAGAAACTGATTTTGGGAGTTATTTAAATTACTCCTTGGCATAATAAAGATATAAATTCTTTCCACTTGATACTAATAAAGAGTTTAGAAACAATATTTTAAGTGAATACATCATTCAGTTTTTTCTTTTAAAATGAACTGTGAACATTTCTAGGAAGTAGATAAATTTAAAAGATAAATTATATATTTTGGTATAGTATCTTCAGATATGATTCCACATAAGCATCCACATTTAAAAAAATCTTACTCTAAATTGCTTGAAATATAATCTTATAATCCTCAAATTGTTAATGGATATTCAAAGCTTTTTGAATCCCTAATACAATATATTCTATTCATAGAATATATTCTATTCATAGCACTTTTCAAAGCCCAGAGTGCTAACCATTACACCACGGGGCCGCTTGCAATTCACAGCACTTTTCAAAGGTTTATAAGAAAGAATCAGGCTATGAATTACATAGAAAGTAAAATCTCATGAAAGGAATTTTTCGTGCTATATTAAGTGATTTTTCAAGGCTGACTTTAATATTTTGCCTTCAAAGACATCTCCATTGAGAATTTTTATTAGAAAATTCTTTCCCATTTAAAATGCTATTTATATTACAGTTTTTGGTTCTGTGGCATTTCTTTGTGTCAGCCGACCACACTGCTCATCTGCTATGTCAAGCAACCGCTCCATGAGTCAAACTACGTGGGAGACAGGAACGTCAAGCCAAAGCAAGAAGATCAGTAAAGCAAAAACCTGCTTAAGGCAACCTCAGATCTGTCAAGTGCACTGTGATACTGATTAGAAGCAAGTGGTCATTTTATTGAATAAGTAATAAGTGCCATTTTTAGTAGTGACAGTCTTACTGTACTAAAAATGTTTTACATATTATACTGTGTAAAGTATAAATTACGTTCCCCTTTCTGGAAGAAAATGAATCTTTACCTCTTATTGACTATAATAAAATATTGCTTTCCTGCACTAAATATTTATACACTGTTCCCTCTGGATTGTTTTAAATTGTGGTTCTGTGCTTTTAACAAATAGTATACTTTGTCTTTAACACTATACTTTGCATTGCTTAGCCATGTTCAATTTTGATGCTCAATCACATCAAGGCTGTAAGGGTAGAAATGTTATAAATGGACAAGTTAGTATTAAAATGGAAAGTGTACACACAGGTAAAGAGTTCAAATAAATTTGAATTATTTATTATATTTATGTAGATGAATAACACAACTCTCCAAATTTTCTTGAAGATGTTTGCTTTGCAAAATAGAAAATCACTGCAATTATTCCTGTATGTCATTCCTTTCCCACTGTATTTTTAGTTGATACAGAATTGTTCTTTTTTTTTTTTTCAGCACATGCTGTGAAGA